GTCCCCGCCGCTCGCTCGCTCCCCCCCCGCGCCATCGGCCGCCGCTTTGTCCCGGCAGCGCCCCGGAGCCGCCGCGGATGCTGTGAGCCCGCCGAGGTGGGTGCGCGGCTGTGCGGGGACGGGCCCGGGCCCCGGTGGCCTCGGTGTGGCCGTGGGGAGCGCGGGGAGGGAGCGGAGCCCCGCCGGGGGTTCGGGGGGATGCTCTCCCTGCGGGGTTCGGGGTCCCCCGGTGGAGTTCTGGGCTTGGGTTCTGTGCCTTCTTTCGGTGTGTATAATCAAGGTTTATTTATTTATTTATTTATTTATTTATTTTAGCCGCGGTTCTTATTTATTTCTTTATTTTATTGCTCGTGTGTCGTGTCTGCCTAGATGCTCCATAGAAATAATGTGCTCGGGAAAAGGCTTAACTTGCTAAACCGTCTAAATAAAGGGCACGGATGACTTATGTRTGATTTAAACACACACGGGAGAACGACTTAGATGTTTAAAAGGCACACTTGTTTTTATGTGTGTAGGCATGGAATTCTGAAATTAACATTTTATGCAAATTAATCATAACATTTTCAGTAGCATAGAAAGGGGTGGGGTTTTCTCTTTCTTCTTTTTATTTTCCCCCGTGTGTTTGTTTTGTTTTGTTCCCATGTCTCTTTCCAAAGCGTGAAGATTCCCAGAATCTGAAAAGTAGTAGGAGGTAGACAGCATTGGAGGCTTCATTGCTGAAACTGCCTGCTCAAGAAATTGCTGGGAGGAAAACAATATGATTCATTGTTGAGGTGTCTCTGCCCKTAGATTTATTTTCACAGGCTGCTTGCAGTTATTTTGGGTTTGCTGAGTTCTGCTGAGTTTTTCCTCGAAGCAGCAGCGTTCTTGGAGATGAGGAGCTCAGGAGGTTTTTATGCAGTCAGCAGGCTGCTGTCTGATGGCTGTTTACTCCTGGCTGGCATTGGCCAATTATTGAAATCAGGTGTTRTTTCACCTGTGCACCAGTGCAGCTGAATTGAGGAGCCTCAGCCACTAGTTCATCCTGTTCAAATTCAGTAAAAAATGCTTTCTCAGAGTAGATCTGAAGCGACAATTCAGATAGTGTGTCTGTTGTAAAATGTGGGCTTTAACCAGATAGAACACTGCGTGGAAAGAAGTACTTCTTGGTTGTAAAGGCACAGGTCACATTTTTGAATAATATACAATGTACAACATTCTTTTTTGTTGTACTATTGCCAGACAAACATTTTGGGGTTTTGTTTTGTTTGGTTTTGGTGGGTGGTGTTTTTTTTTTTCTTTTTTCTTTTTGTACCCACCTCCCTTAGAATTGAGAAATCCATGGTGGTTAAGAGGCGTGGAAACGTTTCTRTGATAATAATAAAAGCACTTCTGGTAAAGCCTGGTTTTGCTGCTCGAGTTTGTGCCGTAGGTGCTGGAGGGGGTTGTTTGGCGTGGCCTGGCGAGGAGGAGCAGAGGATTTGGGGTGTTTTTGGCCGGAGGGACGAGCAGGAGGTGGATGCACACAATGCCCAGCCCGGGAGCTCATTGTTCTTGCGCTGCGCTCGCTGCCTTCGGGACTCCGCTCCCTCTCGCACGGCGCCTTTTTCCACCAAACAGTGGCAGATTGAGACCCAGGAGCATTCGCTGCTTCTTCCCCGCTTCCCCAGGACGGCCTTTGGGTCGCTCGGAGGAGGAAAACATKAAATTAAAGAGCTGAAGGGCGCCAAAACATTGTGTGCGCGGTGCCCTCCTGCTGCTGCGGCGGGGAGTGCCGGCGATTGGGAGCACACGAGGTGACACTGCGAGTGCACTCTGCTCAACCCCGCTCAACTTTCCTTCGTGTTCCTCCTTCTCCTTATCCTGCTGAGAATCCAAAAATTCCCTTTGGGGTTGTTCTGGAGGTGTGTGTGCCGGGGAAGCTGCAAAAGCATGGGGATGACAAAAGCGAGAGGAAGTGTAGGGGTTGATTTCGGTGTATGCGCGGTTTTCTTCCTTCCTGAGGATTGTTTAGGGCTTTTGTTTTTCCAGCAGTATCTGTGAAAAGGCCCAAAGGAGCTGCAGAATTGTAGGATATCAACCTGTAGGATCATTGGGTGAATCCCATCCTCCTGGTAGGGCTATGGTGAGTGTTGAGGGTGTAAAAGAGCAATTGCTGCACAAAGGGGCTGAGATTTGGGGGTTTTGGGCTGTTGAGATAAGGAAAAATCTCAGTTGGCTTTGCTGGTGCCATCAGCGAGCTGCTGATGCTGAGGTGTGCAGAAAGGAGTGAAAAATAACGTGGTTGTTGAAGAAAAGTTGCCAGTGAGGAAAAAATTGCTGGATCCTTTGGAAAACAGGAAACAGTGGCTGTCACAGTTTAATCATGAGGTCTCTGCGATTTGTTTTTGACTCTTTAGCTGACTTCAGTGTGTAATTGGGGTAAATGACTTAATTTTCCACACCTGAGTACAGTGTGGTGGTTGCCTCTGGGTTGAGGACTCTTTGGTTGGTATTTTTGTCCCAGCTTTGGTGTGGTCTGGGACTGCAGGTGGGAGTTAAGAGAGGTGCAGTGAAATACCTGTGCTGCCCCTTTGGTGTTTCTGTGCTGGGTGAATTTGTTCTGAGCTGACACAAAGATGGGAATTCCACCTGGACGAAGCTGCTGATATTCCTGTGCCAAACAGGGAGCATTTCCTGGGCAGCWAAGGTGTGTGGAACAAGGAGACAGAGCTGCCTTCAGCAGTCATTACGTAGCTGGATTAGCAAATAGTGATTTCTTTGCATCCAGGGATTTGTTTGACCTTAGTGGGGGTTGTTTGCATGCAGAGTCCTTCCTGTGGAGTTGTGGGTAAATTCAGGGCTGGCACAGCAAAAGGTGAGCAAGAAACAGCAATCATGTGTTTAAAAAGATGTGGTGGTGTGTGTAATTCTTGAAGCTGTGAACTTAGGAAGCTGTKCCAGGGGGGTTTAGGTTGGATTTTGGGAAAGGTTYTTCTGTCYCCAGAGGGTGCTGGGCACTGGACTCTGATCCTGGTGTCCCTTCCAGCTCAGGATATTCTGTGATTCCATAATTGTTAACACTGACTGCAGCTCAGGTCAGAAAAATGACATTTCCATGTTGTAGTTTAACAACTGGCTTTTAAAATAATGCTTCACCTGTACATTTACTCTCAGAGCTCCAAAATGCACCTCCCTGCTGCAGCCACGCTGGGTGGTTTTGTCCATAAAGAATTTGTTTCATTTTTGGGAGAGGGAGGGGAAAGCAGTGTGCTAATTCAGCCTGGGACAGACCCTGTGATCCTCAGGACTGTGTTACACCCTCTGCTCTTGGGGTGTGAGYAGAGGGCTGCGATTGTGCTTCATTCCTGGCTGGAGAAATAATGACAATTGRAAAACAATTAGTTATTATGTGATCCTGAAATGAGATGAGGGAGCRAGTACATAAATGAAAAAGGGCTGGCTGGGGTTGGAGTTAACCATTAAAAAACCCAAACAAACTCAAAACAACCAGCACTCTGAGTTTCTAATGAACTGGTGTTTGGGTTTTTTTTAGGATGGCGTCCTGGCTAGACTAACTATTTTTAATGTTCAGCTATTTTTCACTCTGGTTTTGCTGTATATTGCAGTTGTCTCAGTTGTGTGAAGTCTAAGCAAATCATCCTGCTTGACTWTAAGGGATGCATATTCTCTGTTTTAGCTCAGAGCTTAAATTTAAATCAATAAGCTTAAAATACAGCATGTTTTTAAGTGAAACCTATCTTTGAACCGTAACAGAACAAACCCCCTATTGATTGGAGACCTGTTTATTTAATGTGCTTTTTTWAAAGCTGCCTGAAAGGAAGTTTTTGCAGGTTCCTGATGCGGARTTGGTTCATTGGAGCAGGGGAGGTGTGTGAGGCTGCATGGGGAAGGTGGCGAGAGGAGGAGGGTGAGTGTGATCATTTTGGGAAGGGCTTTTCCAGCCCTTTTYGGGAGGAAAATCGGAGTGCTGGGAGGTGTCGTGGAGCAGATCCACAAGGCAGCATTGTGCTGCTCCTGTGGGGCTGCCAGCAGCGTTTTACACAAGCTCTGCTCATGTTGGTGGCTGTGCCCAACTGCTCCTTTCACAGAGGCTGATGGGGGAACAAAGGAGCAAACAAGATCTGAATGCTGCTCTGGCTCCTTGTGCCTCGGGAGCCCACGGGGGCAAGGACTGCCTGGAAGGGACTGAAAAGCACCAACAAATCGAAATATTGGCCTGGCTGGGGCTGCTTCAATAGGTGCTGTGTGCTCTGCGCTTGGGTTTGTTTTTTAATGCAAATGTTTGTTAGTTCATTGAGCATCCAGAATTGTACACTGACCTAGAGAAAAGTGAAACTAGCGTGGATACAAACATCACTTTTCCCTCTGTGCCCAGCGGGGATAATGATCACCCTTTTCTTTTTTCTTTTTTTTTTCTTTTTTTTTTCTTTTTGTGGAATTCTTAGTAATGTGTGTTTGGAATGCACTGTGTCAGAGCTGCTGGTGTTGCTCTGGATTCGAGACAGAAAGGGTTGTATTTGCATTTGGCATCTTAATTCTGTTAAAAACGCAGTTCTGAAAACGCAGATCACTTTAGGTATTGCATAAATTTGATAGATGAAAAAGTAAGTTTTGATGATTGAGTTATTGAAAAATGGGTGATTCTTTGAAAATGTAGGTTGTCTTTTGTTCTTCCTACAGCGCACAAATGAGAGGCCAGTTCACMTTATAAGATTCAGGATAAGTGGAAGAAAATGAGTGCTCGTTRATTTTGAGGTCTTAGTTAATCTATGTATTTAATCTACTTGTCTGTAATAGAAAAAAAGTTCCTCTGGTATTATTAATCCCTGGTACTGGAGTGAATTTTGGCCTGTTTCAAATATCTAACAGGATTTCTCCTTTATGATGATGGGTGCTATGTGATTTTTTTCTAGTACAGGCAGCAAAGGCTGTAAATTTATTTTCCTGACCAGCAGAACTAATATAGGTTCTGTTGTAGTATTTCTGAAGAGACAGGAGCTTTTAAGTCCTGAAGTTTGCTCCCTCCATCCCTGTTGCCAGTAAAATCCTCTTTTTTTTCTGTTGTCCTTCCTAMCAGTTGAGTGGGCAAGGAACATGGCTGTGCCTAGGGGCTC